TCCTCCTGCCCACGTCTGTCAACCCTCACCCAGAAGACCCGTGCACCGCCTACTGCAAGTGCTCAGAACACGGAAGAAATGATTGAATGACTGGCACAACTATTTCTGCACTCTTTTCTCAGTTGCTTTTGACATTGTGTTTCTCTTGAAAATAAGCCTTAATCTGTTTTCCCTAACCCTTGACAGTGATTATTGGTCCAAGTGGCAGTGAGAAAGTCAGTGGTCAAGGGTGCCTACGGAGTCTGGAGATAGGGACTCTGAAAGTACTCAGAGGGTGGGGGTGGAGCAGGGAAGGTGCTCATTGGCCTGGAGGACTGTCCAACTCCAAGTGAATTTCCTGAGGGACGGCTCTTGGAGAGGTAACCCTTCCAGCTCCAATGCTGACCTTAACTTTCTTTCTTTCCCATCACATTACCACTGTCTCTACTGACTTACCACATATGATTGGCACTCACCCAAAACCAAAGGGAAAGCCAGGCAGAAACAAGACTCTCTGTCCCCTTGTCCCTTGCCCGACCATCCTCAGGACTAGGAAGCTGGGAGCCAAGCAGGAGCTCTGAGAGAGGGCAGCTCCAGTTTCTGTCTCTATCTTGGGTGAGCCTTTCCATTTCCAGTTAGCTACTGCAGAGGGAATAGAAAGGATCACGGAGAAAAGGAACATGAGGCAGGTTAAGAATAAACAAAAGTTTACCTCCACAGCCTTGATCCCATTTAGGATACAAGCCTGGCATAAATAAATCATGTCCCTGCCTCTCCATTGTCAAGAAGGGCTGCAAATTCCCAGAGCACTAGGCACACTCACACCCACGTGTAAGGACCAAAGCAATGCGAGGAGACAGGTAAAAGCCGTTATTCCTTTGTTCATTATTTTAGATATATATGCGAAGTTCATAGGACAGTGCCCAGCATGCAATACACTCTGTAAGAAATAAAATTAAAGAAATAAAATTAATTAAAGAAATAAAATCTCCCTCTATGAGAAAGCAAAGCACAGGCATTTTGCTGTGTATCCTTTTTTTAGTCCCTCTGACTAATTAAAGCATTTGTTGATTTCTAGCACATAGTTTCAATCAACTGAGGGGGATTTTCAAAGGCTTTGGTATGCCACTGGCAAAACACCCTTCCAAAGAGGAAAGAACATTCCCCAGACTTGCAGGGGCCTGCTGGAGCGAAGCTGAAAGCTCTTTCTGCAGCACTTGCCTCACAAGTGCCAATCGCCTGCTCAGCCTGAGGGATGGGGGCCAAGGCTGTTCCTGCAGCCCCCTGCATGTCTGCCCCACCCTTCCTGCCTAACACCCAGCCAGCTGAAAATAGAGATGCCAGCTTGTATGGTCCCCTCCAAAGAGTTTGGGACCCTTGTGTAGACAGTGCTCGTCTCTCTGCACCCATGGGAGAAGTTGTACAGTGAGAGGCTGGGCACTGTGTCCAGGGCCCCAAAACAATTCAAGGGCTGGATTGGAACCAAGACATGGTCCAGTGTGGGGCCATGAGCTTTTGCACCTACACTGTAATTCATAATTTTCATAAAGTCTTTGCACCAGAAAACTCAACCCCTACAGATCGGGGACCGCTTGTGACCACAGTAATGACAGCAGAGAAATGTCTCCAAAGTCTACCTCAGCCAAAGCAGTGGTGGCTTTATTTCTGGACATTTGCATTTCTGTCTGGGCCAGCTTTCAGACCTCGGGTCTAGAAGTCCCAGAGAGGCAGGGTGGGGTTCCCAGCCAGAAGTGGCTGCATGGGGGAGGGTGGTTCATCCAACTTCCCTGGACCACAGAGGGGCCAGTCCCCTGTGTGCCCCTGCAGCCCTGAGAATCCCACTGAGAGCAAAGCAGGGACCCAGAGTTCAGGTGGGGACAGAATTCCCGTTGGCTTCAGGTGGAGGCAGGAAAATTCTTCCCTCCATTCTTCCCTGAGGCCAGGGCTTTGTGAAGAGTTGTCTGGGGCTGGCGCAGTGCTCCACCTGCCCTTGCCCATCCTGCCGATTCTGGCTCAGGGCTCCCAGATGGGGCTGCCAGCCATGGCCCAATGAATAGGTTGACTCATGCCTCAACTATTGCTTTCCCGCTTTCTGTGCTGAACATGCATGGGATGGAAGGTCTGCAAAGACAAGGGCACTACAGCTTTCTCTCCTGGATGGGAAACCTGTGGGCTAGGGCAGGGCCTGGGGGCAGCTGTGGTTGTGAGTTTCTGTAGGTACGAAAAGGCCTAAAGCAATTAGTGGGCTCAGGTGCAGAGGACTCTCAGGGCCAGGGAGGACAACAGGAATGGAGGCGAGGCCAGGAAATGGAGAGTCATGAGCTCTGTCCTCAGAGAGTGCTCAGGCTCGGGGGGAGGGAGAACCCCTCTTGACAGGAACCAAAGACAAAGCGGTGGACAAGACTCTTGGCCTCAGCATGGGCCTCATGCAAAGATCTGGGAAGAAGTGGAGGGACACGACCTTCTGTCTGTCAATTCAATTCAAAATTGGTGTGCTGAGCGCCCCCAGTGCGCAATCCTGGGCTGGGGATGTGGGATGCAAAGGTGAGCTGCCGTGTTCCCCAACCTTGAAGATACCTGAGGCACCATGAGACCTAGAGGGCATGGGCCAAACCAGATCTATGTCCTAATAAATACATACAGACTGCAGCTAGAGCTCTGAGGAGAGAGCCTCAGAAATTGCAGGATTTGTCTGCTCCTTGCTCTATGGACACTTGGACCACTACTACTCCCTACCTGGTGCCTATACAGTTCTTCCCTGTTTACACATGTTCTATGCCCTCCACACACCCTGTGAGGGAGGCCACACCAGTCCTCTGATTGCTCCTGCTTCTCTGGTAGGGAGCCCAGAAGGGCCAGCCACCAGATACCACGTAGCCCTCCCCCTGTCTTTTGCTGATGGGGAGAAAGATGCCCAGAGAACTAAGGAACATGTCCTACCAAGTCTCAGTAATCCCTCTGTGGGGTGCCCAGCAGAACGGCTGCTGAGCTCAGTATAATCCCTCTCTTCCTGCCACAGTGAGATTCCCGGCTGGGGTGCGACTCTCCCACAAGACGTGGTGCTGGTGCCTGGTTTCCTATGGGGCCCGTTGTCGTTATTTATACCGCCCAGCTCTGGCATCAGGGAGGGGTTGCTCTGCTGGCTTAGGGGAGGATTCCCACGAAGCTCGGACAGAGGAGTGCCTCTTTACCCTGTGAGTGAGGCACCCAAACACTGCTTGCCACAGTTACTTGCCACCCACACACCATTTGTCCCTGGTATCTGAGTCCCAAGCTGAGTCTCAGACTTGCCAGAATGCACTCCTGCTCCTTCTACAACACAGCTGGGAGGAGGGCGAATGGGCAGAAGAGAACGTCTCAGTGTTCCCTGAGGGGTGGGGCTCCCCCCAAGGGCAGTGGGGGCTGCACCCAGGAGTCTAGGTGTGTGTGTCGGGGGAGGGGGGTGCCCTGAGGGTGATCCTTCGGTGGAGGGGGAGGACTCATGCTAGGTGCCCTTAGACATTTGTTTCAAGCTTGGTCTGCTCTATGAGGGTTGAGAATCCCCAATAAGTCTCAGCGCCCCCAAGACACCCACACCTGTTTCCAAAAAGACAACGAAGTGTGAGATTGGTGAGCTCAGTGAAACTCATCTCTGAGAGTCTCAGAAGTTCTCCAGAAAGGAACCCAAATCTCGTTGCCCAAGACCTGCAGTGCCAGCTCTGGCTATTGGCTGGTTGGCCTGCATTTATCTGTCAGCTGCTTCCTCAGCACAGCCCTCTGCTGAGCAATTGCCACCCCAGCTGAACCCGCTCCTCGCAGAGTCATTTTCCCACAGCCTTGGCTTTTTCGTGGCTAACCGCAGGCCCTGACTAGAGATTCCTGAGCCTGGGCTGGGTCCAGGTTCCTCTACTCTTGAGAATGAAGCCCCTCAACTCAGACGCTTAGTGCCACCCCCACCCCACTTTCAGCCCTGGCTCAGGGGTACCCCCACAACTCTCACTGTGGGGCCAATGAGAGTCCTGGAGCTGTTTTGGATGAGGCAGAAGAGGTGACCCCACTCAGGTCATTAATGCATTAATGCAAATGGCTAATGCATTCAGCTGCTAACTGAAAGTTTGGAGACTCAAGTCCACTCAGAGGCACCTTGGAAAAAAGGCCTGGTGATTTACTTCTGAACGATCACAAACATTGAAAACCCTACGGGCACAGTTCTACTCTGACACAACGTGGGGTCGCCATGAGTCAGTGTCAACTGAACTGCAACTGGTTCTAGCTTAGGACAGACACTTCCTAAAATCTAACCAGAACCTTTTCTCTTCCCTCTACTGCCACAACCCACCCAAACTAGCCCCACACAGGGGCTCTTATGGGGCCCTGTCTGAAGCCACTGTGGCAGATTGTTATGCCAGCTGCCTGGTCCCCCCAACTTGCTTTGTCTTGTCTCTGGCAGGACAAGCCATGGACTGAGAATTCCATTTTCCATCCCCTTGGCCCTGAAGGAGGCTTTGGGCTGGCACTTAGGGAAAATGCAGCAATTCCCGTTGCTCGGAACCGGGTGGCTTGCCTGCCGTTATAACAGGTAGGCAGATTCTCAACATGTTACTGATGAGATTAGAAGCTCCTGCAAGTATGTGTTTATGGCAGCCTCAAGCCTGTATCAACAGATTCGATGATTCATTTCTTCCCTAGTAGCATAGCTGAGGGCTTGCTGGAACATACCTGGGGGGCAGCTCCCCCTGAAAAGAGACGTGACTGCCAGGCTGAGGCTCAGGAGTTTTTGTCAAGGGACACAGGGGATCCCTGGGTTTGCTAAGCCCCCACGGAGTGCTGTCGCGAAAGCAAGGAATATGTCGAAAGCCACAGAAAATGCTTAATTCAGAGGAGCTCTGCCAGGCAGGGGGCTCACGTGGCCCCCATTGCTATCCCCTAACCTGGAAGAGCACATGCCTGCTATAGTTGGGCTGGGATGGTCGACGCTAGCACCGGTCCTGTAAGGATCGCTTGGGACACTGGCCAATGCCCCCTTGCTCCCTGGTATCTTTCTTGGTCTGTTCACAGCCCTTGGCCCTCTAGAGAAGAGACTTGCTGGTAGGGCTGCTGACGTGTTGCCAATAGATCGGTGCTGCAAGGCAAGGTTATTCCTAAACAAGCTGAGCCTGGCAGGAGGAAAGCGTTTTCACCCCACACCACTGTGCAGGTGTGCGGTGAGCTCACAGCTGCCCCCAGGCATGCCCAGCCCACTTAATCATTCACATCTCGACAGCTCTCCAGCCCAGCCCAGTTCTGGAGGGGATAAAAGGGGCTTGCAGTTCCCAGTAACACAGCCACCTCTGCCTGCTCCTGAGCTCTGTTCTTGCCAGTACTTCCCAATCCTTCAGTGCCCAGTACTCTTGCTCCACCAGGAACAAGCCATCATGTCTCGCCAGTCGAGCGTCTCCTTCCAGAGCGGGGGCAGTCGTAACTTTAGCACTGCCTCAGCCATCACCCCCTCTGTCTCTCGAACCAGTTTTACCTCCGTGTCCCGATCTGCGGGTGGTGGTGGCAGCTTTGGCAGGGTCAGCCTTGGTGGGGGTGGTGGAGCAGGTGGCTATGGCAGCCGGAGTCTCTACAACCTGGGGGGCTCCAAGAGGATCTCCATCGGCGCTAGCAGCGGTGGCTTCAGGAACCGATTTTGTGCAGGTGCTGGAGGTGGCTATGCCTTCGGAGGCGGAGCCGGGAGCGGATTTGGTTTTGGCAGTGGAGCTGGTGGTGGCTTTGGGCTTGGTGGTGCAGCTGGCTTTGGAGGGGGCTTTGGTGGCCCTGGCTTCCCTGTTTGCCCCCCTGGAGGCATCCAAGAGGTCACCGTCAACCAGAACCTCCTGACTCCCCTCAACCTGCAAATTGACCCCACCATCCAGCGGGTGAGGACCGAGGAGCGGGAGCAGATCAAGACCCTTAACAACAAGTTTGCCTCCTTCATCGACAAGGTAAGCCATGATCCCTTTTAAAAAACCACTGGGAGTGTGCAGTCAATGCCAAAGAAAGTGGGAAGAGGGAAGCTATGTCTGGCTTTATGCAAATGCCCGCAGAGTTTGTAGCTATGTGCTGCCACTTGTTTATGTGTACTGGAGTTTTTTAAACAGACTGGGAGCTTGGCAGGGAGGGTCTGATTTCTTCCCAATGCAGATGTGACCACACCAGGGCTCTTTGATTACTGTTGGATAAAGAGATGAATTCCAGGTCTCATGTAACGGGGACAAGTGCATAGAAAGGTAGACGAGGTCATTGGGCAGCAGTCTGAGTACCTTCGTGGTCACCTCTGCACTGGGCCACACTCTGGCCACCTGTCCCTGGTGCTGTCTGTACCCTGATGCATTTCCTGTCCCTCCTAGAAGAGCAAGGCTAGGCGCCTTGCCTAAGTCCTCCCCTCCAAGGTCCAGGACCAGGCACCCCACATGGGAAAGGTTTAGGGGGACAGAGTGAGGTGGGAGGGAAAACTGGTTAATGAATCATTGAAACATGAAATCTAAGTTTCTCCATCTTCAAACTCTCTGCTCCCCTCCAGGTGCGGTTCCTGGAGCAGCAGAACAAAGTCCTGGACACCAAGTGGACCCTGCTCCAGGAGCAGGGCAACAAGACTGTGAGGCAGAACCTGGAGCCCTTGTTCGAGCAGTATATCAACAACCTCCGCAGGCAGCTGGACAGTATCCTTGGGGAGAGAGGCCGCCTGGACTCTGAGCTGAGGAACATGCAGGACCTGGTGGAGGACTACAAGAATAAGTGAGTTAGGGCAGGGTTGGAGATGGGAGCGGGAGATGGCTTCTTGGCATCAGAAGGGCTTCATAACCAGACATATCTTATGCCCATGGGCTAGAATCATAAACTTTCCATGGACACCTAAAGTACTAAAAAAAAAAAAAAAACAAAAACTTCCAGGCTTATGTTTAGAAAGTTCCAGTCCTAGGCTCAGCCCCTCCATCAGGCGCTTAGCCAGCAGTCTACACCCTTGGCACCACCTGGTGAAATATGCAATCATGTAACCCTTGGTCTTTGGGACTTTCCTCCCCGAGAAGCTTGAAGTACACAACATGGGCCTTTTGATGGCCTCTCCCCACTCCAAAAAAAAAAAAAAAGCACTGATGACATAGCCCAGCATGGTGGTTCAAATAATTTCTTTAGTTTTTGTGTACCAGCAGCTGGGATCTTTCTTTTTTGTTTTATTTTGATGCTCTGAGAGCTGAAAAAAGTACAAGAGAAATTAACTAGAAGTGGAGTTGGGCGGAGAAATCTACAGGAACATTCTTGAAGCAACTAAATTACAGCAATAATAGAATGATTACCTGGTAGGCAGTTACAGAGAAAACAGTGCCCTAATGGGTAAGGACCCTGCCCAGGCGCTCAGGCTACCAGTGCCCCCTCTGCCTGTGAGATGTGAGAAGCTCCTTCCCACTGGGGAAGCAGACTCACAGTTGACTTGGCTCAATAAAGACCCCAGGATTCACCTGCCCTTCATCCTCTGACCAACGTTTCCTATTCCTTTCGCCACTAGGTATGAAGATGAAATCAACAAGCGTACCACTGCTGAGAACGAGTTTGTGATGCTGAAGAAGGTGCGTGCGGGCAGGAGAGAGCCTGTAGCCTGTGGCTATGCTCTCTGAAGGGAGTGATTCCTTTAAGTCAGGATGAAAATCTGGTGCAATGCCAACCATCCTTGTTTCTCTAGGACGTGGACGCCGCCTACATGAACAAGGTGGAGCTAGAGGCCAAGGTTGATGCACTGATGGATGAGATCAACTTCCTGAAACTCTTCTTTGAGGCGGTGAGGAATGTCCCCTGTTCGGGACCCAGACAGACAGCCACTGGGGACACCACCAGCAATTAAGGACTTTGGGTGGTTGGGACTCCCCAGGCTTCAGTGACTTTCACTTATTCCTAAGCTGTGGACACAACTCTGTCTTTCCCACCCCTTTAATATTATTGTTGCTGTTAAGATGATTCTGACCCATTGGGACCCAATAGTGCCACCAGGGCTCCCCTTTAACACTATTTACACTTCATTCTTTATAAGGCTAATTCTGAGGGGGAAACAACAATCATTTTGCAGAGTGAGGTTTAGAGTGAGTTACCGTAGACACAATTACCTACCTTTCCTGGCTAACTTCCATTTCTGGAGTACCATCCCCTCTTTTTTTCATCCCAGCATGACAGGCTACAGAGAGATTCTTTTAAAATAGTTTATGACTCAAAAAGATTTGAATGTGAGAGGTTACACAGTAGGGGTTTCTCGGAGTCTCAAGGTTGTTAAAGTTTTTAAAGAAATAGAGTTAGTAATGATTCCGGTTGTTCAATTAACTTATCTAATTTTGTGATGTGAATGGTTAAATACCACAGAATCCTATGGCTGACTTCAAGTCTCTCTGCAGGAGCTGGCCCAGATACAGACTCATGTCTCAGACACGTCTGTGGTGCTGTCCATGGACAACAACCGCAGCCTGGACCTGGACAGTATCATCGCCGAGGTCAAGGCCCAGTACGAGGACATTGCCAACCGCAGCCGAACGGAAGCCGAGTCCTGGTACCAGACCAAGGTAGGTGTCATGGAAAATATCTCCTGAATGAAGGATCAACATGTGTCTAGCATTTTAGACAATGATGTAATGCTAAGGATGGGGTCCTGAAACGTGGTGATGCCTCTTGGGATGAGTTATGGAAACAGGCATGTATACATTTCCCACATAAATCCAAGAACCTTAATGAAGATAGCACCTTGAATCTCATACCAGTGTTTCTAGGAAAGCAAAGGCACTAAAAAGGAAGTTATTTAAGACCAGGTCCATGTTGGCAAAGCCTAACCTAGCCCCAGAATCCCGGATAACTACAACATTTGCCATCTCTTTGGGACAGTGCTGTCCATCCTCATGTAAGCTCTATCTTTTCTCTTTTCTGGTGGCATCAGTATGAGGAGCTGCAGCAGACAGCTGGCCGGCATGGCGACGACCTCCGCAACACCAAACATGAAATCTCCGAGATGAACCGGATGATCCAGAGGCTCAGAGCTGAGATAGACAATGTCAAGAAGCAGGTAGGGTGAGATTGAAAGAAAGCAAGGAAGGCATCTGAAGTCTGAAAGGGGAGCCTATTTGTTTTGTTTAAACATGCAGCTGGAACAAGTACCAGTGAGTGTCTCAGTGTTCCACCATCTACAATGCCCAGGGCAGATGTACTAGGTTCTACCTGAGGCTCCAGATAATTTAGTTTGCTTGACCCAGGATCTCAGAAAGAGGCATCCAAGGCTCAGCTTAGCCGCTAGTGTCCCAATTTCCCTTCTTTTTTCCTTTTCCTCTGTAGTGTGCCAACCTGCAGAGCGCCATTGCTGATGCTGAGCAGCGTGGGGAGCTGGCCCTCAAGGATGCCAGAAATAAGCTGGCAGAGCTGGAGGATGCCCTGCAGAAGGCCAAGCAGGACATGGCACGGCTGCTGCGAGAGTATCAGGAGCTGATGAACACCAAGCTGGCCTTGGATGTGGAGATTGCCACCTACAGGAAGCTGTTGGAGGGCGAGGAGTGCAGGTGGGTAACACCTGGCTGACATCATGAGCCCAGGATGGCCTCTCATTTGATAACATGGAGTTTCTTCTCCACTACAGGGTGTAAAATGTACATACAAGGAACCACTATCTTGTGCATGATAATTACCTGTAGGGTTTCATTCTAACGTGTATACAGCTGACCCCATGCAAACTGGCCACACTGACTTTCTGGTCTCGTTCCTCACCACCAATATTCTTGGGTGCTTCTTCTCTTCCAAACAACTAAACAATGCAACAAATATGTCCTGAACTTTGTCCCCTTTTCTGCTTTTGCTCAAGGTGTTCTCTCAACCTCGATGTCCACATCACACCTCTGGAAGCCTTTCATGATTACTCCAGCTGAGTTAAACTCACTTGCCTTTAGGTTCTCAAACTATTCCTTTTATGTCAATCTTCAGACTCTGACCATGGCCTACTTTCTATTAGAAGGATTTATGTACATGTCAAGTTCTCTCATCCTTTGAGTAAGCTCCTACAGGTCAGAACTGCATTATACATACTCGTATTTCCCAAGGCCTCTCACTCACTCTTTCTAAATAATGGATGGAGGAGAATGTGAATTGTAATCTTCCTTCAGCAACCTGTTTCTAAGTCCTCTTCATTGGGAAGTCTTTGCAGAGATCTATCTCTTGCTGTAATTTAAACAGTTTTTCAGGCATGCAGTTCCTAGTTTACGGAATGAGCTCTAAAAATGACTATGGGAGTTATCCACATAGATTAATGCTACCTTTTTTTGGAGTTTTTTTTAACTCTTATTTCAATTTTTCCCCTTGTAGACTGAGTGGAGAAGGAGTTGGACCAGTCAATATCTGTAAGTAAATTTGTACAATAAAATGATGATAATATGGGGTATTTGGTGCCAACTCAGAATCCTGCTATTTCTAGATACCTGACATTCCCATCCCAATATATGTTTATTTAATACACTTAGTGAGAAGCAGGTGATGGAGGGGAAAAAACACAGATTGGTACATGAAGCAACATGGCTCATGTCTAATCTTTTAAAGGTTAGGGTTATAAGAATAATCTTATACTTCTTGAACCCTGCCCCCTGCCATGTCCCTATACCCCTTCCCCCGGTACTTAACACCATTCCTTGCCTACTACAGTTACCTCTTTCTGCCAGGGGCCTTAACTAAATGACTTCAGTCTTCCAGGCTTCATTTGCTGTTCTCTAAAAGGGGCCAGGTTTAGTGCTCTAACAACAGCAAAATCAAATAAGTTGGACATGTAGGATCAACCTAACAGACTGGCCTCACCAAGTTCTTTCTCTTTTTTCTGCAGCTGTCGTCACAAGCAACGTCTCTTCCTACGGCGGTGGCAGTGGCTTTGGCAGTGGTGGTGGCTTCGGCAGTGGTGGTGGCTTCAGTGGAGGTCTTGGCAGCGGTCTTGGTGGAGGTGGTGGCGGGAGCTACTACTCCAGCAGCAGTGGGGGCATTGGCCTAGGCGGTGGGCTCAGCGTTGGAGGCTCTGGCTTCAGTGCCAGCAGTGGCCGAAGCCTGGGAGGAGGCTTTAGCACTGGTGGGGGCAGCAACTCCAGCATCAAATTTGTCTCCAGCACCTCTTCCACCCGGAAGAGCCTCAAGAGTTAAGAGTCCTGCACCAACTCACTGCTCCCAAGTGTAGCAACCGAGCCCATGGTAACTGTCTCTTCTAGGCAATTGCCTAAGCCAAAGTTTTCTGTTTTCTGGAGTGTAGTCTAGACCAATCCTACTTCAGAATCACATTCTTTGGTCCACTAGAGTGCCCAAGCCCCAGTCTCTAGTCTCCCATGTCACAATTTTATGTTCTACTTCAAATCAGCCTTTAGGTGCCTATAGAATGGTCCTTGATGACAAAGGAATCCAAAATTTTCCAGTATCTAAACCATCAAAACAGAATCCTCATCCCAACCCCCTACTTCATTCTGGTTCTGACTACCTCCAGAGTCTGTTCAAATAAAATGCTTTTATAATATAAGATGTTGTGCAGAATTGTTTTTCAAGGTCTAAACCCAGTCTAGAGATCCCATGAGAGTTGATCTACCCAGGTTTGATTGGTTCTGTTGATAATTTACAGGGAGAATGGAATAACCTTGAAGGGCAACTGGCCATCATGGGTGGTCCAGAGACTCCCGGAGGTATGAGAGGAGGTTGCTAAATCTTCTACAGTGAAGGAGTCTCTGGAGGGTACTAACACGAGTGTTTCTTGTAATGGAATTTGGACAGTTCTAAAGCGTTTTTTTTTTTTCTTTCTTTTTTGGAAACCCTGGTGGCATAGTGGTTAAGTGCTGTGACTACTAACCAAAAGGTTGGCAGTTCAAATCCTCCAGGTGCTCCTTGGAAACTCTATGGGGCAGTTCTACTCTGTCCTATAGGGTCACTATGAGTTGGAATCGACTTGACGGCAATGGGTTTGGTTTTTTTTTTTTTGGTAAAGTGTTTTTTGGGGAGGGGGCCGCAGTCAAAGTGAGCCAATCTGTTAGGAACAGCAGAAATGGGCTCAAGTAAAATTTGTAAATGAGGAATATGTGGCCTAAAGAACACAAAAAGGCCTAAAAGATGAGCTTGTTAAAACGTTATGGGTGCTGAGGGTCAATAACAGTTTTTTGACAGGAATGGAATGGCTCTTGGTTTGCAAAATTTAACTGAGGTGGCGAGACCTTGCATTACGTGTGGGGCAGTGGCCTATTCTCTTTTGGGGAGCTCCTTTGTGAATATTTGTACGTCCTAATTGAATGTGTCAAATGAATCTCTTCAGAGGAGAATGTCATCAATGTAATGTCATACCTGTGCCCCTGGAGAAAGTTGGATGCAGTTAAGCTCTTGTCTGCAAAGATTGTGTATGATAGTAAGGCTGTTGAGGTACTCTATGAGTAGCTGGGTAAAGGTGTATTATACCACTTCAGAGGTGAAGGCTAACTGTGGCCGACAGGCTGTTGAAGTAGGCACTGAACAGAGCATACCAGCCAACTCTATAATAGCAAAATACCAGTTGCTGATTGGATAGACTCAGTAATTTCAATAACATTGGGTTTGGGGCCTTAATGGTTGGGACCATGGCATTAAGGTGGTGGCAATCCACCGTGAGGCACCATACATTCTTTTAAAGTTTAAAAACAAGTCAAATTAGGTTGTTAAAAGAGAAGCAGTGAGGATAATCATCTCTTCTCTAAATATGTCTTGTATAATGGGTTTCAATCCCTGAAGTCCCTGTTCTAATTTACATTGGATCATATTAACTATCTTAACAAGGGGAAAGATCCAGGTCCAACTTTGTCAAGCCAATTTGCAAGTGCCAAAGACAATTTAATTTCAGTTTATTACTCTTTGGGTCACAGCAGCCATGCCCACTATGGGATATTTTAGGGGAAATGATGCTATGACCACGGGGAATTTAGGTAAGGTGATAATTCCAATAATTAAGGTGAGCCATACCTGTTTTTTTTCTCTATTTTATGTTCCGTAACTTCCCCCAAGATTATAGGGGATTGTTGTTGCTAGCTACCCTCTAGTCAGCCCCTGACTCATGCTGATCCCATGCACAATGGAACAAAATGCTGCCCGGTCCTGCACCATCCCCAAGATTGGTTGCGAATCAGACCGTTGTGATCCATAGGGTTTTCATTGGTTGGTTTTTAGAAATATATTACCAAGCCTGTCTTCCTACTCTGTCTTAGTCTGGAAGCTCTACTCAAACCTGTTCACCATCACAGCAATATGCAAGCTTCCACTGACAGATGGGTGGTGGCTGTGCCTGAAGTGCATTGGCCAAGAATTGAACCCAGGTTCCTTACAAGAGGTAACTTGTTTAAATTTAGTGGGATCCTCAGGTATAACTGTAATTGATTAAAGCCATGAAGGTTTGCCAACTGGTATATTTCAGCAGATGTTAAAGTTAATTCAGAACCTATGTTCTAATGACACAGAACCAATTAGCACCCTTTTATCTTTTTGTTGTATAAATTATTTTAGTAAATTTTGGATTTCCAGTTGGGTCATATCATGGATCTCTGTTTCACTTTTTTTGTTTCCTACCCCATGTATTCACTTCCTTCCTCCCTTCCTTCCATCCTTTCTTCCTCCCTTCCTTCTTTCCTTTCTTCCTTCCTTCCTTCCTTTTTCCCTCCCTCTGTCCCTCCATTCCTGCCTGTCTCTTTCTGTCTCTCTCCTTTTCTTTCTTCCTGTTTCTCTCTTTCTTTCTCTTAGTGGATATACTTTGAGGGGATTTCTCTTACACTGCTCATATTTATAAATTTCTTCCTCCAAAACCGAAAAAACTAAACCTGTTGCCGTTGAGTCAATTCCACTCATAACAACCCTATAGGACAGAGTAAAACTGCCCCATAGGATTTCCAAGGAGCAGCTGGTGGATCTGAACTGTGATTTTTTGGTGAGAGTTTCAAATCAGTATTTCCAAGAACTCCTTCATGGAAATAGTTGAATTAATTCCTATAGTCCAGAGAATTAGAATCTTTTTCAGTGACAGAGGCATAGGCAGCAGCAACAGTAGCAAAGGCACGCACACATACCAAGAGAATATGAAAAGGTTATGACTCACGTAATAAGGCTTTCTGGAGAGAGCAGGGCAGACCTCCCAAGGTGATCCAAACATGGCTTGAGAGAGCAGGGAAAGAAGACTGGTTTTGGGTTTTATGGTTGTTAGAGGGTGTAGCCAATCTGAGGGTTCCTGCACATGGTTTAAACTTTGAATGCCAAAGGAGCACTCAGGCTTTCTTATCAGCTTTCCCAGATGTGGGCAGAAGAGGAAGAGCAGGGGTGGGGCTTACAAGCTGTCAGCATCCAAACATCATTGCAGGGTGATTTATCATTCAAAATATTATTTACATACCATGCAACATTAACGGAAAATAAGGGGAAAAATGTAGAGAAATCAGACGATCATCTTGAGAGATATAGGAAAAGTATTTAACACTCACTCATAATTTTAAAAAACTCATAAAAACTATAAATAGAAACATATTTTCATAATATGTTAAAGAACATTTACCAAAAAACAGAGAGAAAATATTTACTTAGTAGTGAATGATTGAAAATTTTCCCTCTGAGATCAGGGAGGAGGCAAGGATACCTACCATCACCGTAATTATTCTATGTTATACTAGAGATCATAGCCAGTGCAATAAGGAAAGACAAAGAAATAAGCATCTTAAGGACTAGAAAGAAATAAAATTGTAAAATTTTTCGTATAGCACCATTGTGTATGTAGATGATCCAAAAGGGTCTCCAAACTTTTAGACTATTTGGAAACTAGACAAAATATTTCTAAATAACTCGTGCGTCAAAGACATCACAAGGAAAATCTTTAAAAGAAAACATTTTAGAGTTATTAATAATGAAAAAAATCAACATATCGAAAGTCATAGAATGCAGTTAAACCAGTGTTAATAGAGAAGTTTATAGCATTAAATGTTTGTATTAGAAAATAAGAAAGGATTAAGAACAATCAATGATCTGTTTTTACATATAAGAAGTAGTTATGGATTGACTTGTGTCCCCCAGAAATGTGTGTCAACTTGGCTAGGCCATGATTCTCCGTATTGTATGATTGTCCACCATTTTGTTATCTGATTTTCCTATGTGTTGTAAATCCTACCTTTATGATGTTAATGAGGCAGGACTCAATCTACAAGATTAGGTTATATCTTTTGAGAATAAAAGAGAATTGAGCAGAGAGACGGGGGAACTCAAACCACCAAGAAAGTAGTGCCAGGAGCAGAGCAAGTCCTTTGGACCAAGGGTCCCTGCACTGAGAAGCTCCTAGACCAGGGAAAGATTGATGACAAGGACCTTCCCCCAGAGCCAGCAGAAAGAGAAAGACTTTCCCTGGAGCTGGCACCCTGAATTCAGATTTCTAACCTTCTAGACTGTGAGAGAATAAATTTCTCTTTGTTAAAGCCATCCACTAGTGGTATTTCTGTTATAGCAGCACTAGATAACTAAGACAGAAGCTATTTCTATTTCCAGTAAACAAAAGGAAAAGAGTAAGTTAAACACAAAGAAAGTAGAAGAAAGGAAATACTAAATATAAGAGCATAATTCAATAAAATAGAAAATGGGCAAGCAATAGAAAAAAACAACAAAGCTAAAAGTTTGGTTTTTTAAAAGAATTAATAAAATTGAAACACCTTTACCATATTCATCAAGAAAACAAGAGAGAAAACACAAACTACCAATAGCATGAATGAAAGATCACTGCAGATTCTACAGACATTAACAGAATAAGTAAATATGAACAACTTTTATACTTAAAAGTCTGACTAGTTAGATAAAACGAACAAATTGTTTAAAAAAACACAACAAAACTGGTAAAACAAGAAACAGAAAATCTTAATGGCATTTTTGCCAATTAAAGAAATTGAATTAATAATAATAAAGCTTTTCACAAAGAAGCTCGAGGACTGGGCTCCTTTACAGTAAATTGTAGCAAATATTTAGGGAAGAAATAGTACCAATATTATAGAAAATATTTCAAAAAATAAAGATGAGACATTTTCCAACTCACTTTGTGATGACAGTATAATCCTGATAGCAAAACCAGACAAGAATATTACAAGTACAGAAAATTTTAGGCCAATATCCCTCATTAGCATATGTACAAAAATCTTCAACAAAATATTAGCAAATCAAATACTATAATATATAAAGTGGTTAATACATCATGGCTAAGTAAAACCTATTCCAGAAATTTAAGCTTAGTTTAACATATAAAAATCATTTGATATAGTTTGGCATATCAACAAGCCAAAGGTGAAATATCATAAAATCACTTCAATAGCTTCATAAACATCTTTTGAAAACTATTCAACACTCATTCATGATTTTTTTTTAAAATAACAATAGAAGGGAGCTCCCTTTACCTGATAAAGATCATTTATGAAAAACCTAAAATTAGCATCATACTTAATGAAGAAAGAATGAATAAGACAAAGATATCTGATCCCACCATTTCTATCCAACATTGTAATGGGGGTTCCAGCTAGCGTAATAAGGCAAGGAAAAGAAATAAAAGTCCTAAAGATTGTTGTTGTTAGGTGCTGTCAAGTCGGTTCCAACCCATAACAACCCTATGTACAACAGAATGAAACACTGCCCAGTCCTGCACCATCCTCACAATCGTTGTTATGCTTGAGCCCCATTGTTGCAGCCACTGTGCCGACCCATCTCACTGCGGGTCTTCCTCTTTTTTGCTGTCCCTCTACTTTACCAAGCATGACATCCTTCTCCAGGGACTGATCCCTCCTGATAACATGTCCAAAGCATGTGAGATGAAGTCTCACCATCCTCAATTCCAAGGAGCATTCTGGTTGCACTTCTTCCAAGATAGTTTTGTTTGTCCTTTTAGCAGTCCAAGGTATATTCAATATTCTTTGCCAACACCACTATTCAAAGGCGTCAATTCTTCTTCGGTCTTCATTATTCATCTTCCAGCTTTCGCATGCATATGAGGTGATTGAAAACATCATGGCTTGGGTCAGGCGCAACTTAGTCTTCAAGGTGACATCTTTGCTTTTTAACATTTTAAAGAGGTCTTTTGCAGCAGATTTGCCCAATGCAATACATTTGTTTGATTTCTTGACTGCTGCTTCCATGGGTGTTGATTGGGGATCCAAGTAAAATGAAACTCCTTGACAACTTCCATCTTTTCTCCATTTATCATGATGTTGCTTATTGGTCCATTTGTGAGGATTTTTGCTTTCTTTATGTTGAGGTGTAATCCATAATGAAGGCTGTGGTCTTTGATCTTCATCAGTGCTTCAAGTCCTCTTCACTTTCAGCAAGCAAGGTTGTGTCATCTGCATAACCCAGGTTGTTAATGAGTCTTCCTTCAATCCTGATGCCCCTTTCTTCTTCAAATGGTCCTGCTTCTCTGATTATTAGCTCAGCATACAGATTAAATAAGTATTGTGAAAGAATACAACCGTAACACATACCTTTCCTGGCTTTCAACCACACTGTATCCCCTTGTTCTGTTTGAATGACTACCTCTTGATCTAAGTACAGGTTCCTCATGAGCACAAGTAAGTGTTCTGGAATTCCCATTCTTCACAATGTTATCTATAATTTGTTATGATCTACACAGTCAAATGCCTTTGCATAGTCAATAAAACACAGGTAAACATCTTTCTGGTATTCTCTGATTTCAGCCAGGATCTATCTGACATCAGCAATGATATCCCTGGTTCCACATCCTCTTCTGAATCCTGATGAATTTGTGGTAGTTCCCTGTCAATGTACTACTGCAGCTGTTTTTCAATTGTCTCCAGCAAAATTTTACTTGCATGTGGTATTAATGATTTTGTTTGATAATTTCTGCGTTTTGTTGAAACACCTTTCTTTGAAATGGGCACAAATATGCATCTCTTTCAGTCAGCTGACCAGGTAGCTGCCTTCCAAATTTCTTGGCATAGACGAGTGAGCACTTCCAGCATTGCATCCGTCTGTTGAAACATCTAAACTGGTATTCCATCAATTCCTGGAGATATGTTCTTCACCAATACCTTCAGTGCAGCTTTAATCTCTTCCTTTAGTACCATTGATTCCTGAGCCTGAGCATTGATTCCTCCTGAAATGGTTGAACACCTATCAATTATTTTTGGTATAGGGACTCTGTGTATTCCTTCCATCTTCTTTTGATGCTTCCTGCGTTGTTTAATATTTTCCCCATAGGACCCTTCAATATTGCAACTCAGAGCTTGAATATTTTCTTCAGTTCTTTTAGTTTGAGAAATGCCAAGTGTGTTCTTCCCTTTTGGTTTTCTAACTCCAGGTTTTTGCACATTTCATCATAATGCTTTACTTTGTCTTGAACCACTCTTTCAAATCTTCTGTTCAGATTTTTTACTTCATCATTTTTTCCATTCGCTTTAGCCGCTCTATGTTCAATAGCAAGGTTCAGAGTCTCTTCTGACATCCATTTTGGTCTTTTCTTTCTTTCCTGTCTTTTTAATGACCTTTTGGTTTCTTCATGTACGATGTCCTTGATGTCATCACACAACTAGTCTGGTCATCAGCCATTAGTGTTCAACATGTCAAATCTATTCTTGAGATGGTTTCTAAATTCAGGTGGGATATACGCAAGGTTGTACTTTGGCTCTCGTGGACTTGTTCTAATTTTCTTCAGCTTCAACTTGAACTGCATAGGAGCAACTGGTGGTCTGTTCCACAGTTGGCCCCTGGCCTTGTTCTGACTGATGATATTGAGCTTTTCCTTTGTCTCTTTCCACAGATGTAGTAGATTTGATTCCTGTGTATTCCATCTGGCGAGGTCCACCGGTATAGTCCCCGTTTATGTTGTTGAAAAAAGGTATTTGCAATGAAGGAGTCATTTGTCTTGCAAAATTCTTTCATGCAATCTCCGGCATCATTTCTATCACCAAGTCTATATTTTCCAACTACTGGTACTTCTTCTTTGTTTCCAACTTTTGGATTCCAGTCACCAGTAATTATCAATGCACCCTGATTGTGTGTGCGATCAATTACAGAATGCAGAAGTAGGTAAAAATCTTCAATTTCTTCATCTTTGACCTTAGAGGTTGGTGCATAAATTTGAAAACTAGTCATATTAACTGGTCTTCCTTGTAGGCATATGGATATTATCCTATCATTGACAGTGTTGTTCTTCAGGATAGATCTTGAAATGTTCTTTTTGATAATGAATGCAACGCCATTCCTCTGAAAGTTGTCATTCCCGGAATAGGAGACCATATGATTGTCTAATTCAGAATGGCCAA